CGGCTACTCAAGAAGGGCCCAGCTCCATAAGTGAGTGAGTGAATAATAATTCAGTTCCTTTATTTAAGTGCTTGCTAACAGCGAGTGGCCTGTAACAGGCCAGCACTGAAGTGTACAGAACAAAAGCGAGACTAAGGCTAGAGCTAGACTACAATTTGATCCCAGACAAGAAAACAATGCAACTAACACGATAATGCTTTAACTCTGTAGGACTAAGCAAAAAGAATGAATGTATCGTCAAGGAAGATGTTATGTTTATTGCAAATGTTAAGAGATTTCAGTTCTCTTTCGCAGCACCTGGTTGAAGGATTACGTCTTGGGACATTATTGACGTTAAAGTTGGAACAGCATCCATAATAGAGTAATAATCAATTTTGTTCCTGAAAAAGGAATGATGAAATAAAAACGTGAAGACTTTGTCGCCTGGGATAACGTCTTTAATTTAAATAATTCGTAATGATTCATAATTACAAAAATGAGATGTGCTAAATAAATCGATTATAGCATAAATTTGCGAACTTTCTTTTTATTTTGAAGCATATGCCGATTTTTAGGCAACGGCTAGGTAAACACGTTTCCGTGACACGAGCGCTCCACAATAGGACATCCATTGCTAGGTAACGGAATGGTAGACGTGCGTTCTGGACAACAGCAGACGTGTTTTCTGTAGGTCTGCCTCGAGACTATATAAGTCATTCGATGCTGCATAATTTATCCACCTACTGAATTTGCAGCGCCTGCAAAACAAAGTTCTCCGCACATTTGGAAATTTTCTAAGGTGCACACCGGTTCGCGATTAGCACATGACTTTCAAACTTCAGTACTCATATGAATATAAAATATACGTAAAAATAAATAGGCAACAAACAGAAGTCACACAAAATCATGAAAATGCAAATGTTCCCAAAATTGGACAAAGCGAACCATGATGCAGGAAATATAAGAGGCTTGAACCTGGCTGAGGTCAAAAAAAGACCGTTCAAGTGACTAGACTGCCGTTGTAGCAGGAGCTACTAATGATAGGACATGGTCTGCTTTACTGAACCTGGACTGACAGAGGCCTTGTATATGATGCATATACCTAATTTAAATCGTACGTACTCGCAACAAACTTATTACTGATGACTTTGACTCTGGAAAATGACAGACCCGTCCTCTCGTCAGAGAGAACTACCCACATCGAGAAGTCTACAACTATCTGACAGTAATAAAGATCCTGTCTTTGGTCCCAGATGGGCGCTTTATTCCATGATAGACTGGCCGACTGATCGTCGGTCGTAACATAACTTTGACTTTTACTTAACTTCTCCAATTTGACTTGTATAATCACACCCCGTGAAGAGGCGAGTCGAATACCTCCACTGTAGCCATGTGAGTCGTAGGAAGCGACGAAGTGGGAACCCAGTGCCTGCTAGTATAACCGGACCTTCCTGTTCCTGAGTGGATATAAATACGGGGACCTGGCCTTCCAGATGGGGGGAGTCTCGAATCTAGCACAGTAAAATGTGGTAATGAGTTCTGCGGGACTCGGACCTGAGAATAACTGCGCTAGCGAGGGCCAGCAGCAATTGTAAACGACAGACCCGTCCTCCCACCAGAGAGGATGTTATATAAGAACGATGGTCGCAAGTGTTCAGTTGAAAAGAGATATGGTCGTGAGTCTCAAGGGGCTTGTCGCCAAGACAAACTGATTGGCTGTAAACCATCAGTCGTAAAGTGACTCTGACTAACCCCGACTAACTTCTCCATTCCATCCCGTGTGGAGGCGGGTTCGTATCAACTCCACCGCAGCCCGGCGAGTCGTAAAAGGCGACGGAAAGAGAACTCAGTGCCTGGGGGTACAACTGAGCCCCCTGTTACCGGGAGAGTTTCGAATCTGAGATAGTAAAATGTGGCTGTGAGTCATGCAGGACTCAGACCTGATAATGACTGTGCTGGAGAGGGCCAGCAGCAATTGTAAACGGTAGACCCGTCCTCTCGTCAGAGAGGATGTTATTATTGTTGTTATTATTATTATTGTTATTGTTATTATTTAATTGCATAATGAGGAGCTTCATAACTTGTACTCTTCTCCAAGTATAATTAGAATGATCAAGTCAAGGAGGATGAGGTGGGCAGGTCATATAGCACGAATGGAGGAGACGAGGAATGCGTATAGGATATTATGGGAAAACCAGAAGGAACGAGACCACAAGGAAGACCAAGGTGTAGGTGGGTGGAAAATATTAGAATGGTTCTTAGAGAGATAGGATGGGATGGTATGGACTGGATAGATCTGGCTGAGGATAGGGACCAGTAGAGGGCATTGGTGAACACGGTGATGAACCTTCGGGTTCCATAAAATGGTGGGAAATTCGTGAGTAGCTGCAGAATTGGTGGCTCCTCCAGAAGGGCTCAGCTCCATGAGTAAGTAAGTAAGTATTTAATTGCAATTGGGTTTTCACCAGGTGGCAGTGGTACTACAATAAGACAACAGACAAACAACACACATAAACACGTTCAAACAAAACACAACAGACAAACATTAGTAGAAAAGCACACAAAAACGTAAGGACTATGACCACAAATGTTCAATTGAAAAGAAAATGAGGCCGTGAATCCCAAGGGGTTTGACGCCAAGACGACTTGATTGGTGGAAAACCATTAGTCGTAAGTTGACTGACTGTAACTTCTCCAACTGCTGAATTGCACGAAGAAACCTAAGAAACGCCAATCGCTCTGAATTACGCCCTTACATTGCTCTACAGCATTAATTTAGGTACCATATCCGGCTTTATGTACTAAATGCATAATGAAATGAGAACGTGGTGCGTCACTAGGGCGAGCAGAACTGTGTTACAATTGAGACTAACGTCCTTCCTGCTGTATGGAGCGCGAGGCACAAGATGTCTAGCAGCAGAAGCAACCAAGGGCACTCGTCGCCCGTCCCATCTTCTGAGTCACCCACACCCCTTCCCTCCACAGCAAAGAGTAGTTCCTGGTTTTAAGAAACTGACTTCAATAACTATTAATGACTCTTTTATTTCTTAACTAAATTAACTGATCTCGGTGACCACTTTTATACCGACTACCTTACGTATAAGCCACAAAAAACAGAAAAGAAAAGAATTGTGCTAAACCATAAAATTCTAAACATTAGCTTCACTGAAGAAAGCAGTCTTCTGGGATGTGGCACCGCGTAGATGTGGTATTAACCGACTTTTCGGAGGAACGTATCGCCTCCAACCGGTAAAGCAATCTGCTTGTAACGGTTCTCACGCTCTCTTCGCTTGCGGATTTCTTATTTTTCCTTCTATCCTGAAGATGGAGGCGATACGTTCCTCCGAAACGTGGGTTAACACCACATCTACACGGTGCCACATCCCTGAAGACTGCTTTCTTCATAGTCACCGCCGTGAAAACCTCAAATCATACATTAGCTTCACTATCAAATAAACAACCGATCACTGTAGCAGAACGGACTAAGTCATATACTGTTTTCACGCGCTCTGAAGATGGGATCGTGGGTTCGTATCCAACATAAGGCATGGATGTTTGGTATGAGTATGTGTTTATTCTGTGTTCGTGATGTCTTGTGAGGTCTTGCGACGAGTTGATCACTCGTCCAAGGAGTCCTACCGTCTGTATAATGATCAAAATTAAAAAAACATTCTCGATAACGCAGAGTATAGGAGGAACGGATTATGTAAGTAAGTAATTAAAGAATCGATTTCGAAATAAGAGAAACTAAAATTTCTCAGGACAATAATAATATTAGTGTTTGTAATTTAAATAACAATAACAATATTAGTGTTTGTAATTTAAATAACAATATTAGCAATGAATAAGAAACTATAACAGAAGAATTGTGGACAGTTAATAAGCAGTTGTCATTACGTAAAAGTCGTTATATTTTTTAAGATAATCTGATTTAGGGTCAAAATGCCCCCTTTCCGCTCATGTGGAACCCTTAAGGTGAGATAGTATCTAACACAAATGAATGAATTTACAGTCATGTGACCATTTCTTTGTAGTCGCGTATTTTAAAGGAAGAACATAAATTACAAATATTTCCAAAAAGTGTTTAGAAAAATATTTGTATCTAGAAATAAATTGACCCGTTAGTTAGTTAGTTATTAGAGATGGTGGGTTTCCCCATGCACTTAGACCTGTAGTCGTCCATTGTGCTTCCCTCTATGATTTATACCAGCCTCTATATCCTACCGGTATTGGTGCTTACCATCAGTCCCGCCCAGCCAGCGAGACCGGCTTTACTGGCTGAGAAGTATCTATAATGTTTGCCCCATCTACCGGAGGTATTAGTGACTGCTGTTGGGCGGCAAACGTCCGCAATTTTGGCTCAGTGACCTCCTTTGGAGGTATGAGGTTCTTTTAAGTGCCGTAAAGCTACGACACGGGACCCACGGCTTGAAGTCCCTCCCGGAGAACTTGTTCCCTGAATTTTTCCGCCCTTAAAAATTCGACGACCTCCGCCGGGTATTTGAACCCGCGTACTACGAGTCATGAGGTGGGAACGTTACCTCTAGGCTACGGAGGCCGCTAATTGACCCCTTACTGGTCAGTGTAGGATATCAAACAGCAAGGAACGGTCCGATTTACACAGGTCACTTAGTACTGACAGAATTGTGAATTATGATATGTTACCGTGAATTTCATGCTCTCTAGGATAATTAAAAAGAAATGCATGCAGAAATTTGGTAGAGCAACTTCTTGCAAAAGATTGGTTCCGTTACTGACAATGAGATGTAATGGGTATTAGGGAAACAGACTGTAAGGGCTAGAGGTGGATGAAGATGACTTAGAATTGTGTCCTGTGAAGGGCTGTGTTGAACTTCGGGTTCAGATACCAGAGAACTGGGCAGTAATTCCTACGAAAGTCCGCGGCTCCTTGTGAACCAGGCTCCATAGATTGTTATAGCAATTGAATGGCTTGAACACCCCCGCCCGTTCTGTGTCTCTGAGGCGTGCGGTAGATTTGATTCACTTCTGCCATTCTGCAACCTGTAGCCAATAGAAGAGCTGTGGGGCACAGTGGTTCAGTGACGTCATGAAAATGAAGGAAATCGGCCGAGCTGTGGAGGTAAGTGTGCGGTTGACCGGAACATGTAGGAACCTGCATATGAAGATTCACAGTGTTTCTCAGCCGTCTCCATGACACGGCATAACTCACCTGGTACTGTAAAGCTGCTGGCTGCGTGCGCACCTGTAATAATAGGGCAGCGATTAAAACAAGTTCTGGGAGCGATGCGTCCAACAATTCTCTTGTTGCGTGTATATTCATTGCTGCGGTAACGTTTTTAACGAATTGTCGCTTAACAGCGATAAGGGCATACACAAACACACACAGATAGATGGCAGGGATTTGTGAAGTATACGGTTGAGACGGGCTTAGGTGCCGTGATATACATGCCAGGTTTCATAAAGACTGGTTCAGGCAATCAAAAGTTGAAAGGTAGGATAACGCAGACACATCGGCGCACAGATAGCATGGTGATCTTAATCTTCCAAAATGGGGAAAGTTGACTAAAAACTAATATTTTACCGGGCGGCTGCTTCAAGTTCTGTGCTGTGTATATAAATGCCTATGCACTAACCACACCTAGTGGAATAGCGGAAGCAGGAAGCTGTGATCATGGTCCCGGTGCGCAACGCTAAGAGCAGGTACGGCTTCCAGACAGAATCATAGGTTTTCCCTTCTTTTGTCGTGTGGTTATACAGGGCGTTCAATCAAGGAGGAAACTTCTCAACACCGCTGACCGAGCCCAACATTCCTCGCAGATTGCTGCTGTAACTGCCGATAGCAGAATGAGCCATTGGCGCTGATAAACGTGCGCCGTCGGGTGGCGTGATCTTGTCACTGCAGTGACTGCACTGCAGTGTATTATTCTAAGTACGCGATGTGTTGTGATAAACCATGTTCATATACAGTCTGTAGCTTCTACATGAATATGACCAATCAAATTGGCTGAAGCGATGAAACATACGAGTATGTTTTGTATTCCTAAACTGTCCCTTTCATGTCTCTGCCGGCACACCCCACTATTCTGACTAAGAGTTTTCGTAGTTTTCCTCAGTATCTGCAAGGCAACTGTCCGGATATTTCGTTAAATTAGACCAAGAGAGCTAAATTCTCCATCCTTTCCAACCTAATATTCTAGTCATCTAATCATTCGGAAATAGACATCCTGAAATGTTGACCATCTATCTATCTATCTATTTATCTATCTATCTATCTATCTATCTATGGATCTACAGTCCTTATGGACCTTGGCAGCTTTATCAGTTTCTTAATCTATGCATAGTCGGTAGGACTCCCTGGACGAGAGATCAGCCAGTAGCAAAGACTCTACCTACACAGGAAGAAAATAAACGCACACAGACGTCCATGCCTGGAGTGGGATTCGAAACCACGATCCCAGCGTTCGAACGGGAGAAGACGGTTCATGCATTAGACTGTGCGGCCACTGCGATCCGCCTAAACTATTGACAGCGGCGTTAACTAAACTACAAACATATGTTTTCCTCTTTGTTATTAACATAATGTTTTTATTATATAGTTCAGTCTGATTAACAAGTGTTCAAACGGAACGTATGGTGAAGTCCGTATAGGTAAACAGTTGTCTGATAAGTTTCCTATCCAGAATAGTCTAAAACAAGGAGACGCTTTATCGTCACGGTTTTTCAAATTTGCCTTAGACTATGCCATGTCTGCGCCACATCTCAAGCGGTTAGTCGCTGGCTTCCCACCGCGGCGGCCCGGGTTCGAGCCCGGGTCTGGTCAAGTGGGATTTTTGGTGGACAAAGTGGCTCTGGGACAGGTTTTCTCCGAGTATTTCGGTTTCCCCTTCCAATCTTCATTCCACCAATTGCTCCATAATCATCCTCACCTATCATCTGGGGCTGGTACAATAGGCCAGAATTGACCACAGTACAAGGGGCTTAGTCCCACCCCACTAGCAATAAAAAAAAAGTATATGTTGCTGTCTCGTCACCAACTGTAGGAAAAAATCATGACATAAAGACAGCTAACAGATGTTGGGAAAATATGTCACAGTTCAGATATTTGGGAACGACTATAACAAATGGAAACCTGATTCAGAAGGAAATTGAGAGGAGACTGAACTCCGGTAACGCTTGCTACCATTCAGTTCAGAACCTTTTTCCTTCTCGTCTGCTGTCTAAAACCGTAAAAATTATAGAAGAACAATTTTGCCTGCTGTTCTGTACGGGTGTGAAACTTTGTTTCGAACATTAAGGGAGGAACACAGACTTAGGATGTTTGAGAATAAAATGTTAAGGAGAATATTTAGGTTCAAGAGGTTTGAAGTGGCTTGAGTGGTAAGGAAAACTGCATTAAGTGGACCTTCATAACTTGAACTCTTCTCCAAATATAGTTAGAATGATCAAGTCAAGGAGGATGAGATTGGTATGGCATGTAGGACGAATGGAGGAGAGGAGGAATGCTTATAGGATAATGGTGGGAAAGCTAGAAGGAAATAGACCACCGGGAAGACCAAGGCGTAGGCGGATGGACAATATTAAAATGTATCTTAGAGAGATAGGATGGGATGGTATGGATTGGATTGAGCTCTCAGGATGGGGACCAGTGGATGGCCCTTGCTAGCACGATAATGAGCCTTCGGATTCCATGAAATGCTGGGATTTCTTCAGCAGCTCCACAATTGCGGCTTCTCAAGAAGGGCTCAGCTCAGTGAGTGAGTACAGTTCATTACACGTACTTGTGCGTAGTTATGTAATTAAGCTGTATGCCATGAAGATATATATGGAACCCCGGCACTAGATGGAGGTGAGCGCTCAGCTCCACAACGAGGCTGCTTTACCCCTGGGAAAAGAGCCCCTGGTACACAGTGAATGGGAGACTGGGTATGCCCCAGAGCCGCTCTCGGGGGGCTATGGTGAAGAGAAAAACCCATGGCTTTGTCAGGAGTCGAACCCTCGCCATTCAACCCTTAGATTAGTGACTGTATTGACTAACTTATCCCGGCTCCAGCGGTAGGTCTATAAACAGTTTAAATGCCTAAGGCGATGTATCCTTTTCCCGTTACAGTCTTAAAGGTTTTTGTTGTTTAACTCTTTCCTCGAGAGTAAAGCGGCAGGGGCATGAAGCTGACCACTCACTTCCAGCTAGTACCAAGGGCAAGAAAATGTGGATCTGTACATCCACTCCCCCACACGCCTTCATAGCGTAATGCTTAATTCTTTGAGCAACTTTACCTCTTTACTGTATCAGTTTCATGAAACGTCCTGATATCTTTAGAAACTTAGACCGACATATGTAGCGAGTCGCCGTAAATATGATAAATTTTTCTGAATGAATTTCTTGCATCTGAGTTATGTGTATAATCCGCATTAATAATAAAAGTTTTAATTGAGTGCTTTCTTATTGTGGATCTCCTTTTAGTGACTGCGTGTGCAGAGTGGAAATTACCTGCGGGCGTGGACAAGAGAACGATTGCATAACGTGGTGAGCTTGCAAAGTGTAAACAGCCGCCGAATCGTCCTTGTGGCTAATAAATCTGCAATGTCGTGATTTCCCCTTCAAGACCATTGTTCGTTTTCATTGTATCAAGTGTGCACTGGAAGTAAAACGTCCTTAAGTGCTCAGACACATGCGTCCATTTCGTGATGTAACGCTTCGACACGGGCGTGTAATTTTCAGTTTATTGTCTTGGGTACATGAAAACATATTTTTATGACCAGAGGCACTTTGTCTATCAATATGAAGGTTCATGCGATTATTTTAATTCCGGATATTATATTTGGCTTTGTTATCAGTTCTTATACTGTTGATATTCTGTAATTTCTTGTGCCAAACTTGCATATTTTCCTCTTATGTTCTTGGACATTGTTGCTTAATGTGATTGTTATGTCAGTAGACGTCTTATTCCTCTGCTTCTTATCGTTGCTGTCATGACCTCGAGGGCATTTACAGACATGCCTGCATCCTGTTCCAACCATATCCATAAGTCTCTCATTAAAATTCCAAAAATAAAGCATTTTATTGCTCAAAAACTTACCAGCTTAGTGCCTATTCAGATGGTTGTGTGAGTAACATCTAGTAAGGGCTACTTCCCAGGGTTAAGTGGCGAGTAGACAGGGCTCGGTAGCCATGATAGGAAACCTGTTTAAGGGAAGGTCACCCTGAACAAAACATTGCTTCTCCGAGATAAGGGTTTTTGCATAGGCTGGTATCGTGCTCAGGTAAAATAGAGGTATCCGTAAATCTCAAAGCTGCTTCGTGTTTGAGAATGGCACGAGCTGACGAGCTCAGTCCCTGCAGATTATTATTATTATTAATTAAAGAAATCCTATCAACTGCAAATATTGTTTAACTTGAAACAGGATGAAAGGATCGTGACGTATTCAAAAATACTCATTCCTTCTGCAGTTAATTACGCTTCCCCAGAATTTGTGTGGATGAACTAAAACTAAACTAAACTCCGTGGCTTGTACTCCGCAAGCGAACTATACCGACCGGGCGACCGCCGCTTGTCGGCGAAGTTAGTGCCAACTTTTGAGGATAGAGTGTATCGCGTGGTCAGCGCAACGAATTCCCACGGCCGTTAATCTCGGTTTTCTAGAGCGGAGCCGCTACTTTCAATTCAAGTAGCTCCTCAATTATCGCCACGAGGCTGAGTGGACCCCGTTCCAGACCCACTGATTCACAGAATATCCGGTAGCACCGGGAATCGAACCCGAAACCTCTGGATCTGTAGCCAGGAACTCTGACCACTAGACCACAAATGCGGTTACTGGATGAACTGAGGAAAACTACGAAAGCGTGAACAGGATAAGTGACCTGCTGTCTAACAGTCCAACGCGGGACCCTCCCTAAGTAGGTGCGTTAGCCATTCCTAGACTCTTTGTCTGTCCGGTCTGTCAGCTCTTGATGCTAATGTCGTCCCGTTATCATAAACGTGGTTCTGATGACGCAGAAACATCACTTATGGCATCAGTGTGAATCAATTTTAAATTCTTTGATCGATCTGCCTGTCCCGGCTTTTACATGAACTTCAGGTTGGCAAATACTCTGATTCATGTTTGACGTGGACTGCCTCAGAATACAGATCTGACACGTCACTGCTCATCATATTTGTCCTGTGTTAAATACATGCGTGGAATATTTTATAGAAATGATTGGCTACTCTGTTGTTCTAATGAGAGCAAATTAATACTTCATCACTAATGCATGCCCCCACTAACGATCTAAATCATACTCCTATTTATGGAGTGTTAAAATTAAGAAGAAATGAGATCACACTATGCATTGTGGCTCCCTCTGAATGGAAAGTTATAAGAATGAGATTTTGTGCCGTCTAAACTGATTCAATTTGAAGAATGCCGTGTAGATATTGTGTCAACCGACGTTTCGGAGGAACGTATCGCCTCCATCTTCAGGGTATAAGAAATTCGCGAACGATGAACCAGCGTGAGCAGGTGGCTGCAGACCTGCTCACGCTGCTTCATCTTTCACGGATTTCTTAATCTGAAGATGGAGGTGATACGTTTCTCCGAAACATCGGATAAAATAATATGTACACGGCACCACATCCCAGAAGACGGCATTCTGCATAGTTACCGCCATGAAGACCTCAATTCTTACATGATTTATTTTGGTTTAGGTCTCATAATAACATTCTAGGTGTGTAAGGATAGCGGCCGGGGCGTGAAGCTGACCACGCACCTCCAACTAATGCCGAGATCGGGAAAACATGGGTCAATATATATCCACGCCCCCATAAGCCTTCATGGCGTAAAGTAAATTAGTTAAGTACAAGGACAAATTTACTTTTCTTACTTTTAAAATCATATTCTGGAGGCCTTGGTCAATCATTGGTTATGAAAATTGGAAAACATACTCATAACTTTACGTCTGCTTAATTACCTCGAAAACCAAAAGACTTAGGCAGCAAATACATTGCATATGAAATACGTGTTTCATTTCTGCTGCTGCTACGTCCAAAATGCTTTCCCCGACTCTGAATAATTAGCGATATATGCTCACAAACGCATGTAAGTCTACGGGTCTTTAAACATGTTCTATCTAAAAGAAAATTGAAAAAGTTTAACAATTTCTCGTAACATTTTTATATAGAATTTAATGACAAACGTTCTAGCGGTTCTAAAAAAGTAAAAGTAAAGTTATCCCTGTAAGAGGTCGTGGAGGCCCATAGGGTTGTGAGACGTTGAGGGTCCCACATTATCTATACAATCGGCTCACAGATGGCGGTAAGGTTGTCAGTCCTACGCGCCTTCCGCCCTTTACCCCCCAGGAAGATTCCTGGTACTCATTTCTGTTAGAGGCTGAGTCGACCCCAAGGCCATAGTGCGGCTGGAAGGATTAGGTAAATTGAAAAAGAATTCCAATGACCTCATTGGGACTTGAACCCGCGCATAGTGCCTCAACCAACTACGCTACGGTTCTAAACACGACCAGCCCTATGTACCTTCAATCCACGCACGTCGTCTAAAGGATAATAGCTGTCATCCGCACAGGATGCTCCATCTTCTGCCATGGAGTTAGTCACAGAGTGTGTTCTAAACCTCAGAAAATTCCGATCTGCCTTCACGGTTTCCACGATCATGGTCAGTCGCACTTGTCGAACCTTGTTTCCCGAACTCCAGTGCCAATCACATTAGCATAATTAGAGTCTACTCACACATGAGGTCTACCCGCGGACACGGGCCCAGTGTCACAGTGCCGTCCATGAGTGCAGGATGTCCACAGCGGAATTCACAGAGTTGCTGAAGGTAATTTTTATATAATAGTGATCTCACAGTCGCAATGTCCGTCCTGAAGTAACTGCAAATTCACCTTGCTGTAATCTATTTCAACTGCTTTCTCGGGATTGAAGATGTTCTTCTCGTATACTGGTATATCAGTTGAAGAATGCCATCTTCTGGCGTGTGGCGCCGCGAAATCCTCAAATCATACAGAGTATATCACTGGTTCCAACATTGTTATCGGTGCTAACATTTATACCTAGAAAAAATCATTCAACCCACACAAAATGAAGCTCCTGGCAAGTGTTTATAAATTACGAATTCATCAAAATCATAAGCTGATGGGTCATGACTAGAAACTCCCATGATTTGCAATAAGAACAAAATTTCACATTCACAAGAAACTGCGGAGTTTCAAAACGCAGTTTCCAGCTTACAGAACTAAGATTTACTTTTCATGCATCCGTCTATATGAGACACAGACGTCTATATGTCTATATGTCTGATTATGCTTGTAGGAGCATTCTGAATCCTTAAAATGGAAATTAATGTCTACTGAAACTGCTTTGACTTCTGACCAAACTCCTTACTAGCATCTAACACAGCTCTTGTAGTTCCATTTTTGACATTTGCTTCAGGCCAATAAATTGAAGCCATCGACATAAACAACAAGCTATTTGCCCCATTTATTTCCAGTACTTTCGAGTTCCTTAATCCTTCTTTCTGAAGCTAGTTGAAAAGCAAAGGCAAAAAAATATTGCCCTTAGTTTCGAAGTATTCAGTTAAAATATTACAAATTTGTTACTTAGTTAGGCATTTAATTCCTCAACTTGTCAACTAATCAGACAGTGTTAATTGAATCAGTCAAGCAATCAGTTTATAACTGTCATAAGTCTTGCATTCTATTAGGTTCAATATTGTAACCAAATGCTGGTACGTGCACAGGGAAAGAGCGTGAACTACTTGTGCACTTGAGGATCATAGGAAAAGTCACATAGACCACGACAGTTGCCATGAGGGCTTTGAAAACAATAATATGGCAACAGAATCACGAATACGATAGATTATTCGATATCCGAAAGCGTTTCGTTTTTAAGCGACTGAATAACGCACTGATTCAAGAAGCTCGTCTCTTGGTCGGAAGGCTATTTCACTACAAAGTCCCTTCTACCTTTCTTTCCTGCAAAATCGAGAGCCACTGTTGGTCTTCACACCATGTTCTAGGGAAGAGTACCTCCCGGCAATAGCCAGAGCACTCTAGAAGACAAATGGAAGGATGACTCGGAGCGTGGGAATTGGGGCAGCAAGACAGAGTTCATCCTCTCTTGCCTGGGCTACGCTATTGGCATAGGAAACGTGTGGCGTTTCCCCTACCTGTGCTACAGAAACGGCGGAGGTAAGAACCCAGGTTATCAGGCTGCAGTATAACAAGCATAAAACAGAGCTTCTAGCACCACGTTTCGCGTGAGTGGATGCACAGCGCCACACAATCAAACCTCAGTACTAGATGGGACTAGTGGTCAGCTTCATGTTCTGGCCTCTTTATCTACAAAGAGCCCTGGTTCGCTGCGAGGTGAGCACGAAAATGGTGAACTTAGAAATCCCTGGTACTGCCGAAAACCAAATTGGAGTCGTTCAGACCATAGATGGTTCCTTTATTGAGAGAAGTGAAATTTTCTTAGAAGCCAAAGTGTTGTTCTCGTTTCGAAGCTTTTAGAATTCTTCTCAGGACGACACGCTTAAGCAGGGTTGGCAGATATAATTCATCTTAATAGTCGTAACTTGTGCCTTGAACATGAGATCACATTGCTGTAGTCTGGTCTGTGTATCGTTATGCTCTGCAAAGCGGTATATTAAGTTCTATAGATGTGTAATTTATGCCGGTCACGGTAGCCGAGTGGTCTAAGGCGTGCACTGTCTTCGTTCGTTCGGAAGACGGGATCGTGGGTTCGAATCCCACTCAGGGCATGGATGTTTGTGTGCGATTTTCTGTGTTTGTCTACAGGTAGAGGCCTTGCGAAGAGCTGATCACTCGCCCAAGGAGTCCTACCGAATGTGTAAGATCTAGAAAAACAGAAGTGAATGGAGAAGTTCATGGAGGTAGGCCTAGGCCCACTGGGGGCTGTAGTGCCAAAGAAAAAAAAAGACGTGTAATTTAACTGAAAAAGCTAATGGCTGGAAATGATTTAGTAATGGGGAGAATGCGTCTCAAAAACATAACAGGAGAAGACGCTGAGTCTGTGCTAATCATCATCATCATCATCATCATCATCATCATCAGTAATCTGTCAGGCGACAGGTCCACAGTCTCTTCCAAAACAGTTTCTCCACTTAATGCGATCTTCTGTTTTTGGAAAGAGACTATCCAGGAAAAGTGATAATGTGGTAGTTTTTCCATTTGCTTTCCACATCGCAGTACAACAGTAGCCCTGCCAGTAGCTACGCTACCGCTGGTATAGCTCTCAGGGTCCTTGGCATACTCAAACCCCCTCACCACGATAAGGTGGAGACACCAAGGAGGGGGGTGCTATTAATACCCGATTATAATTCTGGACTTAGCTATTTTGTTAACGCAGTATAATAATTTCTGTTCATTTAGCTGTTTTCAAGTTTTTTTTATTTTTATGATTTTCCCATACTGGGTGGACTATACAACTCTGGGCTACAAGAATGACAGAATTGTTGTGTATATATTTATTTCCGTACAACGAAAAGGTATAAACTAGTTTCCCGAATTTATTTTGCCATTTTACATTGTTGCTTTTATGTTCTTCGATATTCTTCCCTTTGACATTTTGCTGACGGTTTAGGCCGCACAGTATCATTTTCTTTGTGCCATATTTGTTTTAAATAAAACCTGAAATTCCGTCATTTTATAGGCTGCATGACAGTTTTACGCAAAGTGTGAAGTCTGTTGCTTCTGATTATTTCTTTTACAGGCTACTTTGTCCAGGCAATCTATATAAATCCTTGTTACCCTGTAGAATGCTTAGACTGATTTATAAAATATGTTAATACGTAGAAGACAAACGCCAATGAAACACACATACGTGATTTACATACCTATATCATCCAATAAGATATAAACAAAAAATAAAGCTATCTCTGTAACAGGGTGTGGAGGCCCATAGAATGTCAGACGTCGAGGCTCTCATATTTTCCAGGTAATCGGCACAAAGATGGCTGTAAATTTGTCAGCCTTAGCGCGCCAGCCGCTCTTTACCCCTCCAGGAAGATTCCTGATACTCATTTCTGTTAGAGGCTGAGTCGTCACCAGGGCCATAGTGCGGCTGCGAGGATTAGGTCAATTTCAAAATCCAGTGAGCTCATAGTTTTTTTTTTTTGTTTGGTTACCCTCGGTTAGGTTAACTTAGTTTAGCTTAGGCTTGCTTTAATTCCATACCATTAGGTTTGTTCCTGAGTTCTTATTCAGTGCAAGGAACAATAAATATTTCACGCTTTGCCTAAGGTTTTCGGACATTCTACATTATAATCAAGTGCCCTATGTAGTTCATATCAAATATTACCCGGTCGACTACGTCGTACAAAACGACGCTCTTGTCGTCTTCCACGAAGAGTAACGTATTTATCTTGTGTTGCGCAAATCATACTTCTCGGCGACAAGTTGTCCAGGAACATCTCTATTCACTACATCACATTGACTTTTGTTCGATTCTACACAAATTTTACAAATTTCGCGTCACCTGGGTACAGGATGTAACAATACGACCTTCACGACTCTTTTTTACATAATTTTCTGTAGTTAGTTTCTGGGGTAAGATGAGACCGACTCCACTTGTTACGTCGGTCACTAATTGACCTATTGTACCAGCATCGGGTGGTAGATGATGAGTGTGGAGCATATCCGTGGAATGAAAATTGGCAAGGGAAATTGAAGTATTCGGAGAAAACCTGTCCCAGTGCCATTTTGTCCACCATAAATCCCACAAGACCAGGCCTGGGCTCGAACCCGGGCCACCGTGGTGGGAAACCGGCGACTAACAGCCTGAGTTACGGCACGGCCCTAATTTTCTATAAGTAATTAACATAATAAATTCCTATACCTTTACCTTTAAAACCTCCTCAGCTATAATGCGCTACTTCTATAGCTATTCAGGGTTAGGTTACGCGAGTTTACTCAGTACAGTAGACATTTCGTTCTATTCCCAGGGGCGTTTCTGGTGCCATACCTGCTGATACTGGCACTGTGTGGCATTCCCCTGTTCTTCATGGAGACTACACTGGGTCAGTTTGCCAGTACCAGCTGCGTTACGCTCTTCAGGATATGCCCCCTTTTCAAAGGTAAGGATATTGTGCTTGTGGTGTGTCACAGGACTTAAGTTAAAAGCGAAACAGTGGAGACTGGGAAATACAATATACATAAACTCCTAGTGAGTCCTTCGTAAATTTGCATGCCTCAATAATCTTGATGTTCATGTATTTCAGATAAAAGAAAGAACTTTCTTATGTTGAATCAGCTAGAAATTATTTTCCTTTATATAGCGTTTACAGTAATAATATGTTTGAAATAAAGCGTTTAGATTGTGTTTCGTATCTAACTAACTAACTACACTAATTAAGCACTACGCCTTGAAGGAGTATTGAGGAGTGGACATATAGATCCACATTTTCTTGACCTCGGTACTAGATGGAGGTGAGTGGTCAGCTTCACGCCCCGGCCGCTTTACCCCTGGGGAAAGGGCCCCCCCCCCCTACCCATTGTATAGGAGGTTAGGTGGAACCCAGAGCCGGTCTCAGCAACGTGGAGAAGAGAAAATTCTTGACAGTACCTGGACTCGAACTCCTACCCCTTGGTTATCCAGCCCTTAGCCAGTAGCTAAACCGACTACGCTATCCCGGTTCCTTTGTACTCGTATTTCATACCACACACCAAAATTCTGCACGTTAAGCGTTTTTAAAAATGTATTTTAACTTCCCTGTGAAGCTGGAATTAAAAGTATATTGAACAGAGTTAATTAGCCCCTTCCGGAAAAGCTTAATATTCTATACTCAAAATCTTGTTTCATTGAAATATGTTTAGAAATTCTGAACGTACTCGTAAAGCATGAGGGCAAGCGAAAGCGAGATAAACATAAACCATTTGTTCATGTGTTTTATTAAATTTGGACCGAAATTATAGTCACCGGGCAACTCTTAATGCAGAGGTACAGTACAAAATTTCAGCGAAATCAATTACACGATAAAAGTGGTGTATGTCTGATAGAGACACTACTTATAATCGTGTCAGGTTGACGTCATTTCTTGAGGTTGTAAGGGTAACATTATCCCAGTGCCAAAGAGCTGAATAATTACAGGGCGTTAAGTGTAATGAAGTAACACTCCATTTATCATTTCAGCATTGGATAAGCATCGACTTAGCCCTACGAACAATTTACATAGCTTGGATGTCACGATGTGTTTCTTTTTTTGCCAGGCACTGGATTCGCCATCTTGATTGTGAACGTCATCTGCACCGTGTACTACAATGTGATCATCTCCTACCCGATATACTTCCTGGTTATGTCCCTGAGATCCAGACTTCCTTGGGAAGACTGTGACCACGAGTGGAACACTGATAAATGCTTGAAGGTAATTCAACACGTTCGTGATTGGTCGGATCTTGGGTTGCCTGATGATTCTGTCTGAGATGACAATGTAGAGTAGCTTGACAGGATAACCATGAAATGTAAAAAGTAAGTAAAGCTATCCCTGTAACAGGCCGTGAAGGCCCGTAGGGTTGTGAGACAATACCTTGACAATCGGCTCAAAGATGGCGGTAAGGTTGTCAGCCTTACGCGCCGGCAGCGCTTCGCTCCCCAGGAAAATTATTTAATTAATTCCTGGTACTCATTTCTGTTAGAAGCTGAGTCGAACCCAGGGCCTAGTGCGGCCGGAAGGATTAGTTCAATTGAAAAAAATCCAATGACCATGAAATGTAACATAATTAAATGTTTGGATTGAGGATTTCGTGGGCTATTTTAATGAAAGCTTGAAATATTAGCCCGGAGAGAATGTAGACATTTGAGAAGAATTTTAGGCACGATGGGCTGTTACACGGTCGTGATCATTGCTGGGTACGTAACCGAATGCAACCGCTGTTCTATTTGGTTCACAGGAATCCATTTTTCCGGATTAGTGTAATTCTTAAGAAGGTACTGAGATTACGTAACCTAGATGCTAGTTTCGTAGTTTCTTGAAGCTATAATACCAATAATGAACTTAGGTATTATCTAACGGCAAATCTTAGGCTGATTATGAACTAATATTTGGGAATGCTGCCAGTAGAAGTGATGGCAACATATTTCAAAGGGTTGTCCAGTATTTAGCTTCCGGAAGAAGAAAGCTAACCACTGCTCCTACCTCACTCTTTAAGCTTTCAGTCCCGTGCAGGTCATCTTGGTGTTGCATTAAGAGCAGTCCAGTTAATACGACTTGTGTTGGTTCTTTGCAGATTGGCACCAAACTGGATGAAATGGGCAACAGTACGCAAAATCACTCGACTCTCTGGAAGACTCCGGCCGATGAATTCTTCCAGTAAGCCCGAGTACTGTTCGTAGCAAACACTCAAAAAGTGAACAGGCGTCGCTTGCGCCTAGCATAGACAATAGTAGAAGATAGTCCCTGGCCCCTAATCCATGGCGGAGTAGAATTATAAAATATTTTCTTGCATCATAGCACTTTACATATTTAAATCCAGTTGCCTTTAAAATTCCATATAAAAATCAGTTGCTTCCTTCATATATATACTATACAGAATGTAAATAAATATATGTTACAACGCTCTGTGGTAGATAGATGAGTTCAATCTGATCATATTTTGTTAAGACAGCCATGTCCGAAAACGCTTTGTTTACGCGCTAGGGTCTCTGAAATGTGAAGCAGAACGCCCTCACCTCTTACCTCTGTGGCCTACTGGTGACATTTACATAACATTTCTCCTAGAGACCTTACCGAGCTGCTGGAATTGATGCCTCTGGAAGTCCCTCGTGAAATGTGGTTCCAGTATGATGGCGCCCAGGTACACTGCATTAATGTCGTCCGTCAGTATTTGGATGAAATTTTGGCAACAGATGGCTCGGACATGGAGGCCCAATAACCTGGCCCCTTCGCTCCTCTGACTTGACTTCACTGGATTTCCCTCTGTGGGTGTACATGGAAAGCCTGGTGTACGGGACTCCAGTGGAGACACAACGTGATCTTGTGGCAAGAATTGCAGTAGCAGCTGGAACCATCCGGGAAATTAAATGCCGGGAATCTTTCAAAGGGTTCAGCATAAAATAGCCAGGCGGTGCAGAACATGCAATGAAGTCGGCGGCGGCCATTTTGAGCAAGTTTTATAACGTAAAACAACGATAACATCCCCTAAAACTTATGCATCCTATAGGAAATTTTGTGGTCCTTAGTGCCAAAAGGAAGTGTTTCCAGACATGAGTGTATTAACAAAATACGGTCATATTGAACCCATCTATCTACCACAGAGCGTTGTAACATACATTTATTTACATTCTGTTTAACAAACATGACACTGAGCAAGATGGCTCGGCCGGTAAAGCATCTAACTTGTATTCGGAAGACGCCCTGTTCAAATTTTATCCTGGGCATCAACTAACCTGACTGGAGGTTTTCGTGGTTTTACTCAGTTCCTCCAGACGAATTCCAGACAATACCTTGAAATGAGCCAAGACCGCTTTCTTCTACATTCTTTAAAATTCATTCATTGTCACCGTAGTATTTGATGGTATATAAACCGAACCACTGATATTGCCGTTAAATAGACCATAAATAAATATGGCGACGTTGCGAAATTTTTAGATTATTTATTGCACATTTGACGTAACAGCAATCAGTACTAGTGTCAATGAATTATCGAAATAGATCACTGAATTGTACAGTCTCTTCATCTAGATCGAAGCGTTCCTGAACTGTATTGCAGCCACAAGATCCTGCAGATTTCTGACGGCATAGAGAGTCCTGGCACGATCGTCTGGGAGCTGCTGCTCTGCAACGTTGCCTCCTGGATCATTGTGTTCCTCTGCATTATGAATGGAGTCAAATCTGTGGGCAAGGTGGTGTACTTCACTGCCACGTTTCCCTTCGTCATCTTGTTAGTGCTCTTCGTGAGAGGCATCACTCTGCCCGGGGCATGGGAGGGCATCCGTTTCTACATCAGCCCGCAGTGGGACCAGCTCCTCAATATCAAGGTAAACTGTGCCTTACATGTCACTCATCAGGTCATGAAATTTCTGTATAAAGAGTCCGTCACTGGGTCATGTAGCCCCCCCCATCTTTTGTAGTTGTGCAAGTTATCTTCCTACATTTCAGTTTCTCTACTAAAATCCTTTAAGCATTTCTCATCTCTCCCACGCATGCTACACGTCCCGCCCACCTCATCCTCCTTGAGTTGGTTGTCCTAATACTCTCTGGTGAAAAGTACAAAAATAAGGAAAAAGCTCTCCCTGTAACAGGCCGTGGAGGATCATAGGGTTGTGAGATGTTGAGGTTCCCACATTTTCTAGATAATCGGCTCACAGATGGCGGTGAGGTCAGTTTTAAGCGCCGGCCTACCTTTACCCCCCAGGAATATTCCTGGTACTCATTTCTGTTAGAGGCTGAGTCGACCCCAGAGCCATAGCACGGCTGAAAGGATTAGGTAAATTGAAAAAAATCCACCTCATTGGGATCCGATCCCGCGACATTCCAGCTTGTAGCATAATGCCTCAACCAACTACGCTACCGCGTGCCCCCCAAAATTAAGTAGGGTCCTTATTATGTAGCTATATCCTTCTGATACCTCCTGTCCCTTAGGCCGAAATATTCTTCTCAGCACCCTGTTCTCAAACGCCCTCAATTTGTAAGTGCTAGGGCTGCAATCTTTCCGGACTGACACTAGTGGTGGATCAAAACGATTTTATCAACTTTATCCGTCGTGAAAGCTTCAGAACTCACGCGAGACTCTAACGATGGGGATAAAGACGGTACCTGTAACCTCAACAATTTTTTACTAACTGACACGACTCATAACCTGAAAAAAACTTTATCAATTTTGGACATAATCTGCGGTTCGAAATTCTGGAATAGAATACACAGTTTGGGGCACTGGATCTGCACCCATTATCATTCATGTGAAAGGAACTTTCTCAGTTTTGTCCGACAGGATAATGGTCTCAGTTGAGTACATGTTCCTCACTTGAGGACGGCAGTAGAACCACGCCCCGAAACACTGCGATCTGTTTTAGAACACCGGAAGATGGGCAGATATTCCAGAAAATTAGTAATACTAATTACACTGCTCTGTCTAACCATTTAGAATTGACCCTCAAATATAATCTTCCCTTATGTCGATTGACGGGGTTTCACGCCAGTGTCCCTAATGGCTCTATGAAAAGAGTAAATAGACCTACCAAGCAGGAGCAATTCTGTTTGGCAGGCTAGAGCAGATTTCAGTCAGTTCTTCCTCTTATGCTCAAATGATGATAAAAATAACAAAGCGTGTGGACAGGAGTTTTCTAATTTTGTATGCATATATTTTTTCAAAGTCACTGTTTTCTCTTTTGAATACCTCATTGGTACCGCTGGGTGTTTTTCATTACAGATACAAATTTACTATCACAAAGCTAACTGCACTGCTCAGAGCCAGAAATTATATTACCTCTTTTTCAGTCAAATATTACCACGTTGAAAAGCGTTTCAATTTGAAGTTCCTTCTTGCAATGAAATCTGAATTAGAACATCAGCCAAATGTTTACAAAAGGAACCGATAGTAGAATCGATATATCCAATCTGAGCTTCATTTCAGTGTTAGCTGGATCGATATGAACTGAAATGAAATTGTCTGGACCGATTTTTAGTGCAAACACAGGACAGTAATTTCAATCGCAACCCGTCAAGTCGTTGCGAACACACACGACTTCCCCGTCATGCGTTCAGGCCACTGTTGCAGGTGTGGGCGGACGCAGCCGTTCAGATCTTCTATTCGCTGGGCCCGGGGTGGGGTGGCATCGTCAACATGGCCAGCTATAACCGGTTCCACAACAACAACAAGTGGTATGTGTCAGTCATAACACTAATTGTATTTATGGAACGCAGAGGTTTTTTACCGTACTCCGAAAAATTCGTGATTGAATCTTAGCCACCTGAATCCTTCCTATGCAATCACAATCCTTTGGTCTAAGACACATTGTATCCTGTACATAAAAGTAAAGCTATCCCTGTAACACGCCATGGAGGCCCATAAGGTTGTGAGACTTCGAGGCTCACACATTTTCTAGACAGCCGGCTCACAGATGGCATTGAGGTTGTCAGCCTTAGAGTCGGCCGCTCTTTACCCCCAGGAAGATTCCTGGGATTCATTTCTGTTAGAGGCTGAGTCGACTTCAGGGCCATAAAGCGGCTGGAAGAATTAGGTAAACTGAAAAATCCAATGACATCAGGAATAGAACCTACGACCTTCCGGCTTGTGGCGTAGTGCCTCAACCATCTACGCTACCGCATGCCCTCCTTATCCTGTACACAAGTCTCCCAACTGTTCATTTTCTTTCACATCTTACCAACAGATTGTGCATGTAATTCTCACTTCAACAGTAGTCGGCGAAGAACAGACAGAAGTCATGCAGCCCTCGTTAAGTAGTTTCCGTCAGTCCGTTGTCATTTGGTCTGTTACCATGTGCTTCTTCCGTTGTTGCTTCTGTCGTGCCAAGCAATCCATCCTCTTTGAAGACCATTTTTAACATTTCGTAATCATGCCAGTTGTCTTTTGCGGCTAGCTACTGTTACGCCCATCTGGCGACCACTCCTTACGCGTGCCTATTTACAGTGTTTCATATTTTGCGATCGTCTGCGTCACGAACACTCTTGAGGGCGTGCTGTGGCACCGTAATACGAAGGGAAGGACTTAAAATAAGTGGGGAACGTTATAATAGCACGGAGCAATTTGATTTTGTTGCAAATTGGTGCAGATTGTTAAAGTATGTCACTGCCCTCCCTTTCTACGTCCCTTACAATCCATAATTGACAATGATATTACCACTCCACATTATGTAATATTCCTTTGAGGAAAGAAATACATACCAGTATCTCAAGCTCAGTGGTCGTAATCAAATACGAAGGTAAGACTAGGCATTTGTAGTTTAATCTAATTAACTCTGCCCTCATTGCCCCATTTCAGGGACTCTATCTTTGTGCCTACGGTGAACTGTGGCACCAGCATTTTTGCTGGCTTTGTGGTATTTTCCGTGCTCGGCTTCATGTCCCACAAGACAGGTGTCCCTGTGTCCACTGTGGCTACTGGAGGTGAGTGAATCTGGCTTTATACTACACTATTGTGCTCACGTATTTGATCTCGATTACCGTCATGCTATGCACATGACGATCTCACTTTGGGAGATTTCGACATGGCGGTCAGCAGCAGCCCCTTTTGCTTTTCGAGAGAATCAGTCAATATTTGAAGATATTATGAGCGACTATAGGACCTGCCAGCCCCTGTGGCCTAATGGATAAGGCATCGGTCTCCTAAACCGGGGATTGTGGGTTCGAGTCCCACCAGGGGTAAAACAAATTATTTTTATTCACGCACACACTTTCTATACTCACTCATGAAGTAGAAAACTTATGACATTTTTTACAATACAGACTCCTTAATTCATAGTTTTAGAAAACAATACATTAACAAAAGACAAGTATTCATCTGCTATGTCCACATTAAAAACAGCTGGTCGGTCACGAGTATGTGACATAATAACCTGCAGATGATCTGTTTCAGGTCCTGGCTTGGCTTTCGTGACCTATCCAGAGGCGATAACAATGTTACCTCTCCCACAATTGTGGGCGGTTCTTTTTTTCTTCATGTTGTATCTACTGGGAATGGATAGCTTGGTAAGTGCTGCCACCTTGTAGGAGATTCCAGCAGCTCTTGCGCAGAGCACACATAGGAAGATTAGTGGGGAGGGAGAAGGGGAAAATTTGGCGTGCTCACAAATTTCCAAAATGACGATGGAAGTCAAATGAATTAAAATGTTTTCTTACGCTGCTGTTGCTAAAAGTTCCATATTGTGGTATGGATTTGGAAAATGTTAGGTTAGATATTTTGTTTTTTGATTTGCTATTCCTTGGCTCTATTTCTGATTTTGATAACAAAATATCTTTTCGTGTGTAATGGTAAGATATCATTTTCAGCAGGAAAATGTTTGTCAAAATCAATCAATATTTAAGATATAGGCAAAATGAGATATATTTAATGTCAACCATATAAAGCTACAGTTTTTTGTGAGGGAGGTAATTATCAGATGTTAGTTTTTTGGGAGTGGTCCTCAGACGAAATTCTGAGGATTATATATGGACCTAAGAGATAACAGGAGATTTCAGATTACAATAGGAGGATCTTAATAATTTGTACTCTTCACCTCATTTTAGTGAAATGATCAAGTCAAGAAGACTGAGATATGTGGGCCATGGGAGAGATTGGCAGAATTTTAGCCCGGAATAATTTAGGAAGAGACTGCTTGGAAGCAGCTGGGAGGTTAATATTAAAACATCTTACAGAAATAGAGTGTGATGGTGTAAACTGTATTCAACTTGTTCAGGGTAGGGTAGAGTGTCAAGTTCTTCTGAACTTAGAAGACAGTGAATTTCTTGACCAGCAAAGCAATTACCAGGTTCTCAAGAGTATGTGAATTGGTTGGGCAGATAGGTGGTTTTTCTAGACAAATCTGTGTACCTGACTGAGCCTTTCCAACTGAACCAGGACAAATGTTATTCAGTCTCTAATGCAGCCTTTCTTTTTGGTAATACTCTGTAATACTGAGAGTAAAAACACATGTATGAGGGTTCTTGAAATAAAACACATTCATGTGTCTGGCCATATTTTGCCCCCTCAAGGAATTGATAAGGGTCTATAGATTAGAGTTGTATGATGATATGGACATGGAAGTGCAGTAGTTTCAATAGCATCCCAATATTTCTTTGCAGTTAGGATCCACCACCTGGTTTGTCAGCAGCATGCCTGTCTGAATGCTCACGGGGACTATTTTGACACTTTCTCCTTCTCCCAGAAAAATCCCCAAATGAGTTTCATTCTAATAAGGCTCTTACAAGAATTTCTGTATTTTAAGCAAAATTAGTTGAAGGTCTTTTGTTTTTAGTTGTAATGGAAGTATGAAAAGTCTCTTGATGCACATACTGTAGGTAGATTTTTGATACTACACCATCAAACGCTTCTGCCATTTGTGGTAATTATTTTTAACAATTTCTTAGATGATCAGGAATGATACATAATTTCTGTGTCGAGACTGAACACTGATAGGTTTTTATTATTTTCAGCTTTGAATACATTTGTCATTTAACAGTGTCAGTGAAATGGAGACATTCATCATATCTTCTGGATATTTACACAGAGTGAATGTGATATTTCAGTAATGGCAAAAATCAAGTTACTACAGAATTTTTATTATTGTCGTTATACTGTTATAAAGGGAGGTTTTTACCTTTCTTGACCAGTTCATGGCTCTGTGCTTCATGGCGACTTTTACATTGCTGGCTGTGAGGCACATATGAATTTTGCTGACGAATCAGCATGCTGCTTGACAGCATTATATTTCATGGTGTGGGAATTTGTTTATGATTTGTCAGCAGTGGATGGCAGTTGTCAGCTCCATTGGTTGCTTGTTCTCAGTTACAATTTGTGAGCAGTGTAATCTGTCATTGTGTGGTATACTTTAGAGCAATGCGTGTCTCTGTATGACACCTACAATAAAACATGTATCTGCTTGAAGTTGTTTGCTAACATTTTGACATAAATTCCATGACAAAGGAGTTCCCAGCAGACTTTGTCCAATATCTTCAGGGACAGAATTATCAGCACTGGTATTTGGCCAGCATGTTCACCCTATCTTATCCATTGTGATTTTATCCTTTCAGGTTGATTGAAGGATAAATTTTACAGCAGTAACCCCTGAATGAAAAAAGAACCAAAAGAAAATATTCCTAAGGAAATTCCAAATATTTCCTCAGAACACCTTCTGCTGGTATTAGAAATGTCTACATGTAGAGGGACGGCATTTTCATCTCCACCTGTGATCTGTAACTGCTTTATTCCGAATGTTATGGGCCAACAGACGTATTGATTCATCGGCAAAATTGTTATGCGCCTTGCAGCTGGTGATGCCCTGGTTGTCATGAAGTACAGATTCATGAACTGGTCAACAAAGTTAAGAACATTCCTGTATATATATTATTATACTTTTTCCATTATTATGAAGATACTGTAAAATCATACACAAATGGAAGCCTATACCATGCATCATACTTCTCCACCCCCCCCCCATTTTAGCTAGTAGGCCAACAGTGAGGGGTTAATGAAGACCAGAGAACTGTGTGCACTTTATTTCGATGATGGTGAGTTGAGATCGCTTGAATATCTTCACAACATGGTTCTTAGCTAAGAACATGACAGGGAACTTCACTTTCATTTGTCTTTTTTGATCAAATAAATAATGCAACAATTGACTCTTTTACAGTTTGTTCAAATTGAAGCACTCATCTCCAGTGTGACAGATGCATATCCAAAGCTAAGGAAACACAAACAATGCGTGACAGGCCTCTCATGTTTTATAATGTTCCTTGGCTCACTTTTCTGTGTTACTAATGTAAGTACTAAGTAAGAACCATTTCACATTACTATGTTATTTATCTGTGCTAAATTGCAATGTCCCACTTCACAACTGAATACAGATTTTTAGGTCTATAGAATCTCTATAGGTGTAAACTATAACTTTAAGTAGCACAACAGAACCCATAGCTCAGTAAGACAGTACCTACAAGAAAGATAAAAAAATTATGCTGCTCTTGAACAGTTGGAATCATGGGCTCTGGCAGGAGTGGAGGAAAGTCATGCATCTGCTTCCCCCCTATGGATTTCTGGGGGGAAAAAATCGAAATTCAAAAGAGGAGGAAATGCATCTCACATTAATATAAAAATTAAAACACTCTACGGAAATCAGTAAGCAGCAAATCCCCTCCCTCCATTGAAAGCATGCCCCCTTGGAAAAAAATCCAAATGGCGCCCATGGTAAAGGGTAAAGCTATTTCTATAACAGACCCATAGGGTTGTGAGATGTTGAGGCTCCCACATTTTCTGCACAGTCAGCTCACAGTTGGCAGTGATGTTGTCAGCCTCAAGTGCCAGCCCCCCATTAGCCCCCAGGAAGATTCCTGGTACTCATTTCTGTTAGAGGCTTAGTCAACCCCAGGGCCGTAGTACAGCTGGAAGGATTAGGCCACTTTTAAAAAATCCAGTGACCTAATTGGGGAATTGAACCCACGACCTTATTGCTTGTAGCATAGTGCCTCAACCAACTACAATACAGCGTGCACCTGAGCCCGTGGCTGGAGTGGAAAAGAATTATGTAATTATGTATGACTTTGCATAACAACTTTCACGTGCAATGATAAGAAAAGGAGAAGAAGGGGAGTGTAAGATTTCCTTGGTAGCAAAGTGCCAAAGGACACCTTGAAAGAAGTAGGATGATTTCTGCCTCATCTCGTGCAAATTAAATTACCAGAATACCATAGTTGGTATAGCGACTGGCTACAGGCTGTACGACCAAGGGGGTCAGAGTTTGAGTCCCCGTAGGGTCAAGAATTTTCTTTTCTCCATGTTGTCCAGACCAGCTCTGAGGCCCACCCAACCTCCTATTCAATACATACCAGGGGCTCTTTCCTGGAGGTAAAGTGGCAGGGGCATGAAGCTGACCATCACCTCCAACTATTGTCAAGGTCATGAAAATGTGGACAAATACATCCACTTCCACATACGCCTTCATGGGGTGGTGCTTAATTAGTTAAGCATAGGGATAACTTAACCTGTTACCTTACTTATAGTATTCTCTTCCTTTGATACATAGACTTCCTTGTTTATTGCCAGTTATCTTAAATGTTTATCTTTGAACCCTTCCCTGGCTGTAACAGAGTGTTTGCTCCTGGCCTATTACAAACTCACAGACCACAGCATAACATGAGCTGTAACAGTTAGGTAACTGGACTGATATTTTGTGCAGCAAATCACTACAAGGCAATGTGAGGTAAGTTGGAGCATCGGATTGCATGATTTAGTGACTGTGTCAACAGTTTTTGGGATTCAGCTTATTTTGTCACTGTGGCAAATGTTTTATTGGCACATCATTCTCTTTTTCTGTCAGAAACAATGGTGATAATATCAGAACAGAGAATCAGCAGTAAATACGTCCTTAGGAAATTTTGTGACAAAATTCGCCAACATTTACAAAATGCTACAAGTCTGCAGAGGGAGAACATTAAGTAAAACACTGATACCTATGTGTGTTAAGCTATATCCAGACTAAATATTCAATTACCAGACAACTTAAGAATTTATACAAATGTGACTAAAGTGCCTGGAATAATGACAATTATTGTGCAGGCACAGTTCTAAAGAGCAGAAGAGCCATAAAGAAAGAATATTGAAAAAAAGATCAGTTATGTATGCACAAAAAAATTTCTGAATGTGTGCTTAAAGTCAGAAGGTGACTGCAGTCACCAGAGGCTGCTGAAAATATTTTTCTAACAAGTATTGTTATTTAGTTGAATATTGCCAAAACTCATAGCTCCATATAAGTTTTGAGGTTTTCACGGCGATGACAATGAAGAGAGTCGTCTTCTGGGTTTAGGCACCGTGTATTCTTCGTGTTGGCCGACGTTTCGGAGGAACGTAGCGCCTCCATCTTCAGAGCAGTTGAATGGCTTGGAATGCGGAGAGCAGTAGCAGTAGCTACTACGTCGGCCAACACGAAGAATACACGGTGCCTAAACCCAGAAGACGACTCTCTTCATAGCTCCATAGTTTGCAAAGTTGTAGAAACTAAGTAAAACTGAATAATTCTGCCAAACTTCATTTTCTAATGATCATAGTTTCTGAGATATATGTCAGATATGACAGATGAAGTGTTATTTTGTGTTGTGGCTATTACGCACATATTAGAACTTAATGAATGTATATCCCTTTTGGCATGGACTACAGCTTAGAATATTTTAAAGGTGTTATTTCTTTGAAGTACCTGCTCTACTTGCAGATTGCATAATAATGGTTGAAGCAGAGTAGGGGCATAATTTGCTCTTGTTGTTTTCAGTACAGTTCTGGATCTTCCGAGTGGTTGGCAAAGTGCAACACTCTAGATTTGTGTTTGGAAGGTACATAGTTTAAATATTGTCTGGGCTGAGTTTTTTTATTATTTATGGTTACTGTCACTGTCTCCAAGTGAAATCAAAAGGTGTACTGCTTGTATTATCACTGGTAGGAAGTGCTGAACCTGAAAATTCAGATATATATGTTAATGTCAATATACTTTTGTACTAGACCAATTTCATTGGCAGTAGTTAGCGTGCTCTACCAGTAGCATGCCCACGCAAAAAAAAAAAAATAGCACTGCAGTGTGAGGAAAAATTGTTGTTGTTTGTTGTGGTTTCTTAGTGTACATTCAACTCTAGATTCTTGGCTAAAGAATTACACTCTAGATTGTTGGACTCACAGATATAATTTTTGTGACCTTGACAGTGCCCTTCATTTCCATGGTTATTATGAAAATATACAAATGTCACATGCTCAGTACCATCACAGTACCAGTGCTTGTCCTGTAGGATAAGGATGATACTGATTTAGACCCATGCCATGCAGGTTATAGCAGAATTAACGGTGTTTCTGAGCTCTCTTTCATATAATGAACTACTTCTGTATTAACAGTTATTGTTGTCACTATTCAAGATGCAGAGCATGATGAATAGACAGACATGCAGGTATTGTGAATTCTGTATGTAGATACTGTCAGAGCTAGAGAAACTTTTAGCCAGTCATGTCAGAGCTTCAAAAGAGAGTCTTATTGCTTAGCATAGCACTCAGTGGTTTCACTCTACAAATGTCTTAAAATTGTGATGTTTGCTTAGAAAAGTAAGAACAACAATAACACAAAATTATTTTTTCGGGGACACATGATAAATTTGGTATCATTAAGAATGACACTGTCTATAAATTACTGTAATTTTAAGCAAAATGTAAACCCATCCATATCCTTTGCTGCTGAAAACAGTCTGCCTGTGAAATCATATGTGGAAAAGAAACAGAAATATTTACTGATCTTTCTACCTTATGGATCACTAAATATTTCCAAGTTCCTAGGTGTTATCCATGGGTTACATGATTTATTTAACCATATGTGATCACAGTATCAGGTATAGATGGGGGCAGAACCACTTTAAGCAATTCTCATCTTATTAGCATGCATGCTTTCTGTGATGTTCTGCACCAGGAGAGTGTACAGGTATGCTGGTGAACTGGTGAAGTAATTTCCAAGAAAATCGTCATTTTGTCTTTTAAGTTTCTTGTGCTGTGCTCTTAATTTTTAGACAGTGATGCATTATCTCCATAGGATAGTTTTTCAGGATGTAAACACCTGAAGGTATTAAATATCAAGAACTTTCACTGGATAATTCAAAATAAAGGGACACAAGCTGCTTTACAGAAACTGTTTTTTGACTATTGGGTAAACATGACATGTATTTTTTTAAAAACACATGAGTGTTTCTTTCACAGACTATTTCTAGTACTTTATGACATCTAATAGAATATAATGTTAAGTATTGCTTCAAGGAGAATTTAAATAGAGTCTAAATTAATGTTAAGCTTTGCTTTGCTTCTTGCAGGGCGGCATGTATGTTGTACAGCTTCTTGACTGGTATGCAGCGTCCACATCAGTTATACTCATATGTATAGTTGAAATACTTATCGTTGGATGGATCTATGGTAAGTAAGCATATATACTTATACAATTTCACATTTTGTGAAGAGCAGATATTTCTTTACCAACTTGCTGTAGAACACAGACAAGACCTGTGGCCTACTAATATTCTGTCTGTAGCCCACTGTAGTTGTAGGTCCATGTTCAAGTATATAGAACATTAGTGGTGAGGACACAAAATAATGGCCATAGACAAATGGAAATTTTGCGGTTAGAATCATTGAACGAAGAATATTGTGTAGTCCTGCTCTAGAATATTCTGTCATGAAGGACAGGGAGGACTGGAGCTGAATGTTGTGTAATTCTTGTATAATACTTCAAATTTAGGATTGTGTACATCGATATCAGTATCGTTCATATGTAGATTTTCTTTACTTGTTTTGTAAATATGATATTTCTTGACTATATTCGATTATTTTCCTTTCCTCCCCATTGTTATGATTTCCGTTATATCTGTTATTGTGCCATATGTGTGTCCACTGTTCAATATGTGACTTGAATATCCGGAGTTACTTCTGTTACTTTTATGTCATGAATGTGTCCTTTGTATCTGGTCTTGAATGTTCTTCCTGTTTGTCCGACATACTCTAATGGGCAATGTAGGCATTTCATTTGATAAATTCCACTTCTGCTATATTTATTTATTTGCAGCTGTGGCTTTAGTATGTTCTGTATTGTGTTCCGCGTATGGAAGGCCACTTTTATTTCTGTCTCTCGAAAAAGCTTTGTGATTGCTCTCACTTCCTTACTGCATCCACAGCTGTAATTATTCTCTTTAAAAACTTCTTAATTTTATTTAAGATTGTACTGCCTTCATTCGTGACTTGGAGTTCATGATTGAAGAAAAGCTTCATGTATGGTGGAAGGTGTCCTGGAAATACACAACACCAAGCATTTTAATGGTGAGTATTATAATCCACCCCAAACCCCATTTCTTCCATAATTAATCATAGAAAAATATATTTAACAGAAGAACTCTATATAAATGTATACCATGCAGGTCACTACTTTGAATAGTATTTTCAGTCAGAAATATGTTTTGATGTACTTGCCATATGATGTTGAAACTGAACACTCTACACATTTTTAGATGATTCCTTGGCCAGTGTATAATGGTTTACATCTGAAGGTTTGAAAATTATATCACTTCTTTCAGTTATTTTCTTATAATGGTAGCATTTAGAAAATTTTAAATGTAAATATCATTTATGGGAGTGAGAACAAAATTAAAACATGATTAAACTCCAGAAATGCATGCCATTATTTATCTCAGGATCTTTTGCATCCCATCCATAAATATAAAACTGTAGTTTTTTCTATTGTTTTGTATGACTGAAATATTTGGTCTCTCACATGAAGGAACTGAGCAAGCTAATGTGTCAGTAATGCCATAGACTTGAATTTGGGAGGTATTCATTTTGAATCTCAACCAAGACACAGGCTGTCCTGATTGGTATAGTCTGTGGTTTTCCTCAGCCCTTCCAGGAATATTTTGGCATGTTAATTTGACCAGGTCACATCCACGTCTTTCCAAATCCTTTCCAGTTCATTACTCGCTAATCAACATACAATTTGATGCTACAGAGTCTGACCTACTGATAGCATTGTCAAATAAACACAAAAGAAAAATTTAAAGGAAGAAGATACATTCTGTATATTTGAGTACAGTTTGGACCTAAGAGGGGGGGAAATAAAGGAGAAAAACTGCATAATGAGGTTCTTCATAATTTGTACTCCTCAAAAAATATTACTAGCATTATCAAATCAAAGAGGTTGAGACAAGTAAAATATGTTACTATGTTGTATTTTAGCGTACTGTTGTGCTGATTCATATTCATAATGTGTATGTATTAACAGTCTTCAAGTGCACACAATCCCATCTACCACTTCCACACTACATGTTTTGGCAGTATGCTGCCATCTTCAGGTGTATCGATCCGTCAACTATTTCACTGCTTGCCTTTATATGTCCATTTACAAATAATATTAAATTTGTATATGTCTTTATATAATAATAAGTTTTAACAAGTTTTAAATACATAAACTTTATTATTATATAAGGACATATACAAATTTAATATTATTTGTAAATGGACATACAAAGGCAAGCAGTGAAATAGTTGAAGGATCGATACGCCTGAAGATGGCAGCATACTGCCGAAACATGTAGTGTAGAAGTGATAAATGGGATTGTATGCACTTGAAGACGGTTAATAGATACACATTATGAAAATATGTTACACTCATGATAGTGAAACAACATTTCAATAGCAGAGCCTGATGGAAAGATGCCATTTAGAAAATCTAGACATAGATGGGAGGACAATATGAAAATGGATATTAAAGAAATATGATGGGGAACTGAACTGGGTTTATCTGTCTGATGACAGGGACCAGAGGTGGGCTGTTGTGAGCACGATAATGAACCTTCAGAGTCCATAAAATTGAATAATTAACTGGATCAGGGTCCTTCTTGGGAAGCTGATGCTTGCTCAGTTAGTCAAGATACTAAAAAATTCAAACCAAATACCTCCAAAGTTCAAATGTAGGGCATTATTGATACACCAGCCTGTTTAGTTCCTTCATGTGAGCGCCCAAGATATGTGCTTATGCAAAACAACAGGCAAAGTTATAGTTTTATATACTTTAATGACTAGACTCTTAGATGGCAGATGGGAAGATAAAAGATTTTGTAGTGAATGAGAACATGAATTTACAGAATTTAATTAGGTCTTAATTTTGTCCTCACTGCCAGCATTTAAAATCTTCTAAATGCTCTTATTATAATAAAACATCAGCAACAGAATGGAGTGGCATCATTTTCAAACCATAAAAAGTAAATTATTGCACACTATCCCAGGTATCCATTCAAAAACTATTGACTAAGACTCATTATGCTTTTCCCTACTCAGATCCACACTTAAACGTTGGTAAAAAAAGACATTTCATTGCCAGCTTTTAATAAATATAATTAAAGATAATAATTCCCCTTGGGATTACTTAATATTTTGAAAATTTTCTGTCACTGGCTACCAGAACAGTATTTAAAATCTGAGATTCTCACAACAATGTGACTATTAACAGGGCAGTCCTCCAGTTGTAACACAGTGTAGTTCAGTAGAAGACCACCAACATTTCAGAGGAATGCATCACCTCTGTCATGAGGGTCACCAAGTGAGCCAAGCAAGAAACCAGCAGGATGTAGTCATTCTGTTTGCCATCTACTTCTTGCTGGCTTCCTCGTTGCCTTACTCTTCAACCTTGAAGTTGGATGCAATACATTCATCTGATATGTCAGTGGACTTCTACTGAACTACATAGCATTATATCGCAAGAGACTATCCTCTTTAGCAGTCAGAGATTTCCAGTTTACAAGAACAGAATTTTTTTAGCCAAATATTTAATACTGTGATACTACTTAACATATCCTTGATAACTGGCTGAGCTGACTTACATCACTCAGAGCCACAGCCTGGACACCCTGTCTGCCCCACTCCTCAGAACAGTCTTCTCCCTCTACTGAGACACTATAAGAGTTTGAGACAACTTGGAACTCTATCTTATGGTGGATATTACAGGTTGCCTATAATGTATGAAGACAGTGTAATAGAAAAGGTTCCATAAGTCATAAAAACAGTCCATGATATGAAAACATTTTTGTGTCTCTCTAGAGAATTCTCTCTTAACTTCAAGAGTTTTTGTGATTTTCCTACTCAACATGCGTGTTAAGGGAATGATTATGACCTGTGCACCAGTGAACTGTAGTACAGCTTTTTTCTTTTCACAGGACAAATTCAATTTTTTTCTTCTACACTGATGAGAGGAGCTATGAAATCTACTCACAGGTACAGCCTATCTTGGAAACTTCAGCATTAAATTATTTCCATTTTTTACTTTAATTACAGTTCATCTTTGTGACTACAGTTGCATTCAATTCACCTGTCACTTACAATGGATTAAAATATCCAGATTGGGCTCTTCTAGTGGGCTGGTTTGCTGCAGTGGCCTCCATGATCTGCATTCCCATTGGTGTTGTTCACACGCTTGCAAAATCACGTGGAACTTTAATTCAAGTATGTATCCTTAAAGTTACTTGTAGTCTCTATTCACCTTCATCAGCCCATGGAAACATTCTATTGTGTGGTTAAATTGTGTGCACTCTTCTCTGATTAAAAGTGTTTTGAAAAGTTCTTATAAATTTCCTGCATTATTTATCAGTTATTCAAGCCCCACACTTCAGTGTAATCATTCAAGAGAAAAGAAAAAAATATAGAATTATAAATGAGGAGAAGAAGACTGATATTATTATATAATTTTACAGCGATTAACATCCATCAAATACAGTGCAACCTCACTGCTCTGGACTACTCGTATATGCAGAAAAGAGTAATTTGGATTCTGTTAGCAAGCATGAGTTTCTCTTTATTCCATTTTATTTTTGACAAAGAATGTTTTCCTCTGACAAAGTCTTCCACATCTTTGAAACCGACATTTCAGTATCTATCTCCTCCATAACCTCACCAGGTTAAGTGATACCTGGATGAGCAGAGTCTGGTTTGGTGAGGATTTGCTTATTTCTTCTTACTAGTATATATGACTCAGGCCTAAGGATTGAAGTTTTTGTACAAATGGAAACATTAAAGACTGTATTAATTAAATTACCTTTTGTAAATTCACAGAGATTCAGGAAAAGTCTGTTGCCAAGCAGTAGTTGGGGGCCTGCACTTGAGGCAGATCACATTGCCTGGAAGCAGTATACAGCATAATGCACTTGGTGATGATTCAAATGAGAATTAAATACTTTCATGACGTTCTGCTTTCAAATTAATATAATTTTACTTTAAGATATACCAGTTGTGCATCACTTACATTTCAAATTAAATATTATTTTCTTTGGTGAGACACTATAATTACTCAGTGATGTAGCTATCACATGAAGTCAGAAAATCTAAAAAATATCGTTTTGTTGCAGGTAAAAATAAAGTTGTCTTTTTTAATTAAGGTCAGTGACTGAATGATGGCTCAGCTCTTACTTCAAACCCTAAACTTGTGATTCCATTCTATATCCAATGATGAACTCATCAGCTGAATCTGTTCAAATGTCCTGCAGTGACAACAAGATTAACCATACATATATTGTGAAATGTATTTTAATGTGTTAAGAACTCAAACTGGGCTGAAGTTATATGAAATACCAGTTCATTTTGGCAATTTTTTGACAAAATTTAGTACTTACCATCAGCTAGAAAACAAGTAGGTATTTACAAAGTGTGGGATATACTGGTAAAATGTCTTATTACAAGGATGATTACTTATCCCTAAGTATAAGAGCAGTATTTTGGCACATATTATATAAGCTGATTGCTCGTAATGCAAGCATACTATCTCTTTAGGGTCATGCAGATATTTGCGCCAGAGATGCAGAATACAGAAAATGTAACCTGGAAAATATATAGATTTTCTATATATGACTTAATTTGCTGTCACTACTAGACTTAACATATTTATGTAAATACAGTATGTAAGCATTGTGACTGTCTTGTACAATATTTTTGTAATATTGTCATGCAACATTATGTCTGGAGTATTTCCATATTCCGTATTGAGGGGCTGGGTTTCCCCATGCACTTATACAGGTTACTGGTCCATTGTGCGTCCCCCTTTAATTTCTACTGTCTCCATACCCTACCGGTACTGGTGCTTACTATCAGCCCCTTTCTGCCAGCGAGGTTCCAACCTCTTACTGGCAGTGGTATCTAATAGTTAGTCCCTTTCTGTCAGCGAGGTCATCCCTCCTCTGGCAGGGGTTCCTAGTCCCTTTCTGCCAGCAAGATTTCTACCCTCTACTTGGCAGTGGTATCTAATACTTTTAGTCCCTTTCTGTCAGAGAGGGCCTGCCTCCTCTGGCAGTGGTACCTGATACTTCCCCCATCTACCGGAGGAATTGGAAACTAGTTGGGCAGGAAACTTGGCCTAATTTTGCTCAGAGGTCTCCTAGAGACATGAGGTTCTTTTACGTGCCATAAATCTACGACACGGGACCCACGGCTTAAAGTCCCTCCCGGAGGACTTGTTCCCTGAATTTTTCTGCCCTTAAAAATTCCACGACCTCCGCCGGGTTTTTGAACCCGCATACCTTGAGTCATGAGGTGGGAACGTTACCCCTAGACTACGGAGGCCGCTATGTCTGGAGTAACACAGCTTTCTTAACAGAGATTTTTGTGTTAGCAACGGTCATGCCAGGCCCAACAGAGGGACAGCATGGGTAACACTAATACCCATTAGTTCTCCCTGCTTGCCATTGCATTTTGGTCCCATATTTTGTATTGTCTTCAAGGGAAAGATTTACCATCACACAGTGTGCATGTGAATCACCAATACAGGACTGTTACCCAAGTCTCACTTAAGAAATTGGTACTTAAGACAGTGCTTTCATTTAACTTCATAATAAAATGGCTCTTTTGGAAAAAATGGGACTAGTTGATGTCCTGTACAATTATTTTTGGACAGGTGACCCCACTCAAAAATGGGACAATCCAATTGTTACATCCAATAACCCTGATGAAACCTGTTGATATCGACTAAGGATCGTAAATTATCTCAGAATATTTTGGATGACTAGTCTCTTGTTATTCAGATATAAATGGTAAACATCTAATCAAAAATTTCCAGAACTAGTTTCTGTGATATTTCTGTCAACTTCGCTATAGTTAATTATTCCATTAAGGACATTATAGCATGATAGAACTTGCCAGAATTCTTGTAATGTCTAGAAAGATTATGCAATCAAAAATTCCTGCAACACATTAAAATATTAATTATAAATGGAAAAGAAACTTCAGACTTACTGCTATATCATACTTACTGGAAATATTGGCCGCGCCATAGCTCAAGCAGTTAGCCTCTGGCTTCCCACCGTGGCGGCCCGGGTTCGATCCCGGGTCTGGTTATGTGGAATTTATGGTGGACAAAGTGGCGCTGGGGCAGGTTTTCTTCGAGTACTTCGGTTTCCCCTGCCAATCTTCATTCCACCAATTGCTCCACAATCACCCTGGAAATACTGGAAATATTCATAAAGAACGTGCTCATGACCCAAAATTCAATTTAGATAACTACCCCAACTTCAGAGGGGCATGCGTAGTTGGTTGAGGCACTAATGCTACAAGCCAGAAGGTCATGGGTTCAATTCCGGATGAGCTCATTGGATTTTTCAATTTACCTGAACCTTCCAGCCGCACTATGTGCCTGTGGTCAACTCTGCCTCTAACAAAAATAATTACCAGGAATCTTCCTGGGAGTAAAGGGCAGCTGGTGCGTAAGGCTAACAACCTCACCGCCATCTGTAAGCTAATTTTCTAGAAAATGTGGGAGCCTTGATGTCTCACAACCCTATGGGTTTCCACTGCCTGTCTCAGGGATAGCTTTATTTCTCTTTTTCCTTCCACCCACCTTCAGATGTTCTTGTCCTCCAACTCGAAATAGTGCAGATCTTCTCAATAGAAGCAGATCCTTACAACAAGAATGTAAAATTCTCTTTGTGACCTGATGCAAATAAAGGAACTCACATTTGAAGTTTCAGTATGCTCATTCATAAGTGGACTCATTAGTGGGTAAGTCAAGGTTGCAACTTGACACAAAGGATGAACTGTTTAATAATCATGAGCTAGAGGAACTGACACATGACACTAACATGTTATCAATTGTTGTATATTATCAGGAACAAAAGAAGACCATCCAAGAAAAATCCATATCCTGGAGTAGAGTATTTTCCTTGAACTGACATAAATTTCTTGAAACAATAGGCATATAAATATAAATATATAAATAAACATATTGTCACGTGTATGAGTGTGACAATTAAGTTCCCACACTGACGCTTTTTTACTTGAAAAATTCGTGTAAATTGTTTTCTGGCCTCAGTGTGGGAACGTAATTGTCACCTGTGAATAGATGGAATTTATATTGGTAAACGGATTTATTAAACTTTTTTTTTTACTGCTAGTGGGGTGGGACTAAGTTCCTTGTACTGCGGCCACTTCTGGCCTATTGTACCAGCCCCAGATGATAGGTGAGGGTGATTGTGGAGCAGTTGGTGGAATGAAGATTGGCAGGGGAAACCGAAGTACTCGGAGAAAACCTGCCCCAGCGCCACTTTGTCCACCACAAATCCCACCTGACCAGACCCGGCATCGAACCCAGCCCGGTGGGAAGCCAGCGACTAACCGCTTGAGCTATGGCGCGGCCGTTATTAAACTCTTACAGAACATAACTACAAGTAACTATAGCACTAAAGCGGCCTCCGTAGTCTAGAGGTAACGTTCCCACCTCATGACTCGTAGTACGCGGGTTCAAATACCCGGCGGAGGTCGTCGAATTTTTAAGGGCGGAAAAATTCAGGGAACAAGTCCTCCGGGAGGGACTTTAAGCTGTGTGTCCCGTGTCGTAACTTTACGGCACGTAAAAGAACCTCATATCCCCAAAGGGGATCACTGAACCAAATTCCAGGACGTTTCCCGCCCAACAATAGTCTCTAAGGCCTCTGATAGATGGGGGAAGCATTATAGATACCGCTAAGCATGTGGCCGAACTCGCTTGCTCGGCGGGACTGATGGTACGCACCATTTATCGGTAGGGTATAGAGACTGGTAGAATATGAAAGAGGGAAGCACAATAGATCAAACTGGTTGCGGTGCATGGGGAAACCCACCCTCTCTAAAATAACCAACTAACTAACTAATAACTATAGCACTGTCACTAATTCACACACTCTGCAGTTCACTACAGCACACACACTAACTCTTGACATCCTGCTCTATCTTCACCGGTTGTCGCCTGGTAATGGCTTCCAAAGCAGTAGCTTTCTTAGCTTCCTTGTTCACGTCCTTCCTGTCTGGCGACTGTCTCACAACTAACTCCCAGGCTGGCAACCATCTCACACCAACTTCCTACTCTTCTGATTGGCCAATCCAATTCGAACAAATCCATTAAATTGCTACTGGCCTTCGCCAGCACAGTCTTCCTTGATATCGGGACCCGTGACCATATTTTTATTCTTTGCAGACTTTCGCGTCTTTCGAAATGGGGCCTCCTCTTCGAAGAGAGGAGAGGATGGGTCAGTCTACTACTGGTCACTCCCCAACTATTGGGGATTTGCTTCCCACTGAATGATTAACTAGTCCATTCAGGTAAATTGCTGCAGGCCCTCGCCAGTACTGTTATTTTTTATTCCGAGTACCACGGGACTTATCTGGCCCTTCCGGTTGACCCGTACTGGGGTCTTCTTGTACGACCTCGGCACGGACTGTAGAAACCACCGCTCCTCATTGTTGTACTTCGGTTGTTGCCGCGGCGACATGTTTGTTTGCAAAGCCGTAGCTCAGTAACGGTTGTCATATATTTGCTTATTCCATGGTCGTTGCTTAGCAACGGGTCTATATGCCATAGTATCAATTTAGGCTTAGTGGGGGGTGGAGTCCAACTGGGTCCACTCGGCACGGCGGCCACTGATTGGCCTATTGTACCTGCCCCCGGGTGATTATGATGGTGGAGAATTTGGTGGAATGAAGGTTGGCAGGGGAAACCGAAGTACTCGGAGAAAACGCGCCCCAGCCCCACTTTGTCCACCACAAATCCCACTTGACCAAACCCGGGATCGAAGCCAAGGTGGGAAACCAGCGACTAACCGCTTGAGCTATGGCGCCGCCCTACCCAGCCATAGTATCAAACTAACTTAAACAAAGTCGGCATATTTTTTCAGAAGATTTTGGTTATGACACCTCCGAAACTACGCTAGATTATACGTTTAATAGGTACTTCTGCTGAAGGAATTATCGGCTGAACTGAAATGATTGAAACTAGAATAAAATCTTCTCTTATTAGGAACAAACATTAAATTAGAACGCAACTTTTTACTGTTAATTGGTATTAAACTCAAATTAGCAAGAAGTGAATGAATGTAATACCAGTACCCAAATCCACCCACTCAGTTGTTGCTCACACTAAAAGAGAATTAATAATAATATGGAGCTACCTGGTTTCGAGAGTCTGCCAAAATCTAAACGGAGGTTAAGGAACCAGAGGCAAGTAAACCGGGATCCAGCATGAAAAACGGCAGTCAACTGGATCACCAAAACCATCAGACGAATGATCCGTAGGAAGGCACTCTAACGGTGGGAAACAAAAACAGGGAACTGTGAGGTCACACATCAAACTCTGTGGCCAATTGCGAAATCCCTTATGAAAAGGACCGACCAAAGGCACCAGCTGCTGTTTGTGGACCTTTAGGAACAATATGTCACCCAAAAGAGAAAGCGAACGTGATTTGCTGATTGTTTATCAAACTAGTTCACACCTCATGACCTATGTGACGAAAGCCATGAGCGACATTTGGAGACTAGATTCCAAACCCTGATCGCATCTGTAGACGACACCCAGAGACATACATAAACTATCAAATTCACTGAAACTGAGAAAAGCTTGTGGAATTCATGGTATTCCAAACGAATGTCTTAGGCATCTTCCAAGAAGACCATTGGTACATCTGTCATCTTTATTTAATCATTCCCTTCTGTTCTCCCATTTTC